TTACACCTTGGAGAGATTCCTTGCAGCACCACATTGTCAGAAGTGATTAACTGCATCCTCAACTTTGGCATCTCAGGTAAGTGGTATAAAGGATTGATTAATCTATAACCCTTTAGACATAAACGAAGTCCAAGGGACTAGGACTGGTTCCAGCTGTAAGAGGTTCCTGCCTGACCTCAGCAGCAGATGGGATGTGCTCCCTGACAGCTTTGTCTGTCCTCTGCAGCACCACATTGTCAGAAGTGATTAACTGCATCCTCAACTTTGGCATCTCAGGTAAGTGGTATAAAGGATTGATTAATCTATAACCCTTTAGACATAAACGAAGTCCAAGGGACTAGGACTGGTTCCAGCTGTAAGAGGTTCCTGCCTGACCTCAGCAGCAGATGGGATGTGCTCCCTGACAGCTTTGTCTGTCCTCTGCAATCAGTAGCCAGGTGTACCTTGCCTTCAAATCTTGTTAAACCACAGTCACATCTAACACTGAACTTTGTTAACTCACTGGTTATAGTATATTTCTGGTTTCTCTGCTGTGACTGTAGTGCATCACTGCATGCATCACACCCACCCATAACCCTGACCTAACAGCCTCCTCTTCACAGATCAAAACACACCCAACAACCTCCTCCCAGGGCGAGCTGGGGAGAAGGCCCAGCTCAGAAGAGAAGCAATCCTGAGAGTGATGGAGGATGAGCATCCTCTGCAGTAGACTGAATCCTGGTACCATGCAGTGAGCACATGAGTACTGTCCTTAGGAAGTTGCCCCTAGCAGCATCACAACCCACCCTGAGCCAGATGCCACTATCCCCAGAGCTCTGCTATTCAAATCCTACTGAAAAACCCAACCTTCTCTGGCTGAGAAGGACTTTCACATGAGTACAAAAGACAAGGCTGTTCATACCAGCAACTCATTAAAAAAATACACAGCACACTTGGTTGCATGGTTTCCTTCAGCTCCACTGCAGCATGAAGGTCTCCCTGAGAATAAAAGCTATGCAAGTTGCCATAAATGAAACTTGGAGTCAATCACTGAAATTAAGACTGGACAAGGCTGTAAGACATGGTCTTTCCTCCTCCCCCAGGACAGGCACAGTGGAAGGCAGTGGCTCATGCAGGCACAGCTCAGCATGGCTCCAAAATGGGTTTCATTAAAGGTTAGCACACCTGGCTGCACTGTAATGCTTTTTAAAAGGAAGCTGATACCAATGGGGTCAACTCCAAGACAACCAGAAGAAGAACTAGTAATTACCATGAACTGTGAGGATTATGAGGAACAGTTCACAAGAGGGAAGTAATTTTCACAAACTGTGTCCATTTTAAGCACATGAAATTAAATGTCAAAACATTACAGTCCCAGGTACAGACACCTGTGCAATCAAATAGATTAAATGACATGTCCAGAACATAGGTTTTCCTTTTATGAGCTACTGCATGGACAGCTGAAAACAAACAATCAACAGCATCAACAACAGCTAAGAAACTGATGATGTAAATGGTTAAACCTTCACCTGTGCATCACATGTGGACTGTTTTCAGGGAAACACAAGCTACAGCACAGCAGAGCTACAGCCCTCCCTTACACAAAAATGGTGATGAAGCTTCAAGTATAGATACGTATTTTATTGATTTCTTCAGTCTTGAATCTGTTAAATCAGCTGACAACAGTGTAGTAATTTGAAAAGAGTTCTTCTCCTTGCTTGATGTCTCTGAGAGTGACAAGAACTACACACCTCAGGTGGCTGCAAAACACAAAGAACAAGCAAAACACGTGGAGGTGAATAATTACATTTCCCTTAGAATTTTTTTAGCTCTCCATTCCAAGAAGCCGAAACAATGGGTTTGTCTAGATCAGTTTTGGAAGCAATATGCATAGGACAGAGAAAAACAACACTGAGGCACAGACAGCAAATATAAGCAAAACCAATGTAATAACCAAAAAAGCACAGCCCATGTGGGCATGCAAATCACGTTCCCATCCACACAATTTTCAGGAATGCAAATAATTAGCCAAGACTGAGAAAGAAGCACTTCTCAGACAGGAGGAGAAGCTGAAATCAGGGGCTGGCTAACAGTCTTCTCACAGGGATAGTCAGGAACACAATCCCTAAACTTCCTTTAAGTAAACGGCTGTGCCCTACAGCTGAAGTACCTGTCTAGGGAGGAGAGCACAGCCACACATGCTGATGAACAGGTGAAAAACAGCACCAACCCAAGCTGTCTCCACAACTAAAAATGAGTATGAGGCCATCTGGAAACATACCAAACAAGAACAAGAAGGTAAACAAGTACTAAGAACTCTTTTACCAGAGAGAAGATTTATAAATCAGATTACCTACGCTGTCAGCATTGTATCTATCAGTATCAAACGAGCAGCTAAAAGCAGATGGGATCTTTAGTCTAGTGGCTGTACACTGGGAGAAATGGTGACTGAAAGGTCTCATTTTCTTGGACACATTCCATGGAAGAGAGTGAAATTCTCCCTTCCTGAAATGGTCCCAGAGTTTAGCTCTCCTGACTGTGGTTTCACACTTCAAATACAGCATCAAGGCTTCCTGGGAGTTCAGTCCTACTGCTTGGTTTATTAGCAGTTATTTAATTATCTGCAGATAACAAGTGCATCTCTAACCTTGCCTCAGCGAAGCCTGAGTTAAATCAGAAAAGCCAGGACAATCCAGGCCATGAAAGCCACTCAGAAAAGTCAAGTTTTGAGTTTAAAATAGCTCCAGAATTACATTAAAAGTTGAGATGATCTGTTCTAAAATCCTTACACATCCTGGAAATGAAGATGATTGTTTGGTTCCTGAAGGTACCAACTGGACCAGAAGCACAACTGCTTTGGTGTGTTATACTCAGGACCGACACTACAGCTTAGTTTCTCACAGCCTCAAAGTATCTGACTACATCCCAGTCCAGGACACACTTCCAGACAGATTGTCTGTCTTTATTGTCCATATTGCTCCTTGTACACATTCATCTAATTGTCACTTTCATCACATTTCCAAACAAAAAGCTTAGAAGTTTCCAAGTGTTTTGATTTCTAAGAAAAGGTGGATTTTCAGGTCATAAGAAGGGTGTTTTATCTGTGTACTGTAACTCAAAGCACATGTCCTTACATTGCACAGCACTTCACTTGGCTCAACACAACTGTAGGTTTCTTCTTGCAAATTCTTCTGCTTGTTCATTCATATTATTCATCACATAAGCAGAAGACATGGAGAACAGGAGAGTGAGAAGCCTAAATCTGAACTACCTCAAAAGGGCTTTCACTGAATCATTAGGGCTGGAAAAGACCTCTGAGAACCCCAAGCCCAATCTATGACCCAACATCACCATGTCAACCAGACCATGGCACCAGTGCTATGTCCAGTCTCTCCTTGAACACCTTCAGGGATGGTGACTCCAGCACCCCCATGGGACACATTCCAGTGTCCAATCTCCCTTTCTGTGAAGAAATGCTTCCAATTACCCAACACAAACCTCCTCTGGCAAAGTCTGAGACTATGTCCTCTCGTCCCATCATTTCTTACCTGGGAGAAGAGACCAACCCCCAGCCTAGAAACTGTGATTGGCTAAGGGTCACTACCTACATTTGAAATACAAACAGAAAAACCTCAGTACTGTAATAAAAGAAAAATATAACTAGTGTTTTATGGGTTCCAGAATAACCACACTATAGTGTAACCACTGTTTGCAAAACCATGTCTTTAGAGCTTGATTTCATTTGTGAAGATGTGGAAAAACAGCAGAGCCTCGTAAATAAAATTAGTCTATTCAAAGAGCTCACTCTCCCATACAGTTACATTTTTGTGTAACTGATCTTCACATAATATATTATTTCTCAGCCATGTGTTTCTCACACATGTTCTGTACCACACAAATCTGTGAGCTCTCTGATTTGCTGCTGACCTCTCTGTGTCGTGGCTGTAGACGATGTTTGGAAGATACTGTTTCAGCTCTACTGGAAAATGTCCTGGCACATCAAACTCTTGGTAACACACATTGGCTGCTTTTTCTGGAAATAAGAAAAAAAGAAGTCTCTGTGATACTGAGGAAATCTTAGATAGGGTTTAGAGACATGCAAAAACATCAAATGTACTGCTACAGAAGTACCAGGTGCTTCATCAAGCCTGAAAACCAATCCCCTGTCAGGAGCTCCTCTGAAGTCCTGTCTGAATTTACACAAGAGACACACAACCAGCTACAGGATCTTGACACATTTATCAACATGCATATGAAGAGGCACAACTTTCTTAGCACCAGAGTAACTTGCAGCATTGCTACATATTACTAATACACAGTTTTCTTTGTTACAAAGTTAAAAATACTGAAAAACACTTTCCTTCTGGCAAGTATGTCAGAAATACAGTCAGGGAGAACATCACCAAGTGTCCGGTAGGAAGAGGAGAATTTTATGTACATGGGCATTGGGCCTGGAAGAAAAGGTTTCATGGGACAGCCCTTTGTCCCTGTGCCAGTCAATACCTGGTTTGCTACTCCAGCAACTTTTCTGGGTGCTACTTGAAGACAGGGAACCTTCAGGATAATGCAGGCCACAAAAGCCACTCAGAAGCCAGGTAAGGTATCAATTCCCACTCTCTGTGTATCACAACCATTCCCATGAGTCAAGATCAACAGTGAGACAAAATAAACCGTTCCCTTCTCTAGGTCCTAAAGCTAGATCATCCCAACAGTTTCCTGGAATTTGTGCATAAAGATAAGGAAGTCTGAAAACAAGTAAAACTGAGCACCGACACAGTCTTACTGCACACGTCACCGTGAGCGTGGTTTTCTCATGAAGCCTGATGAAACCACACAGGGGAATTTGATCTGCACCTCTGTGTATTGTATCAGCCTAATGGTCCTTTGCCAGGCATCCCTTCCCACATCTCACATTCTGGGTGTGTGACTTTGATCCTACATACCAGGAGGGAAGCTGGGGAAGTCAGTGAGAAAAGACTAAGGGTATTTGAAGCATTGCTGAACTGAAGGGTTCCAGGAGTCAGCTGTGACAAAAAGCCTCAGACCTTTTTTATCCCATAAAGGCTTCTCCTGTTTTAAACAGCACTACTCTCTCCCAAGATAAGTATCCTATTCTACGTGTCACCTCCAAAATAATTTACATCCATAAAGACAAACAAAAGCCAGGAAAATTTACGTGCAACTTACCATGTGAGCAGTTGTTGACATACTGCCCCACGGCCAGTGGGTTCTGTGGGGCAGCTGTGAGCCAGCTCTCATCGCTCATGTGAAATGGGCCAAGCTGATCTCTCCTGCTGCAAGACCTGAAGTGACCAACAGCATTAATGGAATCACTGCACCCTCACCTGACAGGTCATCCTACTTCCTCCTGCAGTCATGTCCACAGTCACAGCTGCCCAGCCCACCCGGGGTAGGGAGGGATGTGCACGGACCAATGTCTTGATGGTACTTTACAAAGAACATTCAAACCTCTCACTACTGTGCGGTGTCTTTCAGACTCTGCTGGAAGAACCTGCACAAAACTACCACGTGCTCTTTCAGAAATCAACATCAAATGTTACCATCACGGAAGTGTCAACACATCTCACTCACCTTTAAAGACACAAAGGCTCATTACAATTTAAATTCAGATGATTAGCATTAGTATTAGTAGGTGTCAATATTCGAACTAGGCAGTATTTTAGAATATTTTGCTACTATTTCCTTTTCATGTCATATTTAAACACAAACAGCTACAAATTGTATTTTAAGGTAAGCTAACAGTCCAGGGTAGCTGTGTCAAGGGAAGTTCAGACTGGGCATTGGGATAAAGTTTGGTTTAAGGCAGAAGCAGGAGTTGAACCTGATGAACCTTATGTGCCCATTCCAACTTGAGATAATAACATTGTAAACCAGGGCTGGAGTAACCAGATTGACACTTTTGCTACTAACAAGTTCATACAGAGGCTTTTTCTTGTTATTTAATCAACTAAGCAAGTCTGAGTAACAGCTCAGAAACATTTAAGTACTTTTATGCTACATCCTGCTCTATAAAACTCTTTCCTTTGCAGCCCTCAGTCGCTCTACATCAAAACTCATCTCACTGGTGTTTCAGATGAAGACACAAGTACATAACCCTTTGCATCCACACAGGTGGGTAACAGCCACATACAGCTCCACTTAGGGTAAGACAACAGGGAACTGAGACTGTCAGCACCACCGTTTTGAATCAGATGAGTGACAATCCCCTATTTCTTCTGCTCACCTGTACACTGATCTCGACAGTCCTTTGTCGTTCCCATCAATAAGGATGCCATCAATGCACCTAAAAATAAAGGGATTGCCAAGGGACTGGAAAAAGATGGGCTCATGCTTTCTGTACACTGTACCTGTTGCAAGACAGATATGATTACTTCAGAAGCTAGTAAGTTAGCTGTCAGTTAGCAAGTAAAGTAAGTTAACTGTCCTAAGGCTTATGTTATATATTCTCCAGTCCCTCTACAGAGACACTCAAAGGAGAAAGAGAGGGCGTAGAAATTCTCTCTCATTCAGGGACATTGACATTTGTAAACCCACAAGCTTTTGGACACACATTTCTGGGATGCAAAAAAGCCCAAACCCATAACTAAGTCACCTGAGATATTCCAAAAAGTTGTAGAAAATCATCACAGAAAAGGGCTGAGCTCTGCATCCTTGGGACAGGCAGATAAAGCATTCACAGCCAACTCTCCCACTTCGGAGACAAGAATGTCAAGTGACACTCGTGCAGGAAAGCACAGCAGAAGAAACTGAGTTATTTTGTTCCTAGTGTGTCAGGACTCTTTGAAAAGCACACACAGAGACAGCAAAGAATCCAAAACACCTCGCTCCAGCATCCTGATCACAGATTTTGTTTGGTACAGGAGAGGGACAATGCCAAACCAAGAACAAACCATTTCAGCAGAACACTTCTCAAATCTGTGGGGAGGATTAACCCACCCTGACTTCCAAGCACAGGAAAACAACAGCAGACTGACTAGCTTGTGATTTGTCCTGCATCCCTCACACTCACTATACCTTCAGCAAATCTCTGCACTAGTCCTTCACTGCAATCTCACACGGAGCCAGGCAAGGGCTGTGCTTACTGCCTAGCAGCAGGTTGGACAATGCTGACCTGCCCTGCCCACACAGTCCCTTCCCCAGCTCACTGCCCTGCAGTTTCCTTCATTCCCCTGGAAAAGAAGGGAATTTCAACAGCCCCAACTCTTGTTTTGCTGGAAGAGACCCTGAGTGAGCCTATGCTTACATTTAGTATGTGCCTGAAGTTTGAAGTGAGCTGCCAACAGAAACAAATCCAAAACGTTTCGCAGAGCTGTCCTAGCTTGGCCACACAAAGGACTCTTCATTAGGAACTGCAGTGAGAGGACAAGGAGTAATGGGTGTAAATTGAGAGAGAGGAAATCTAGATGAGCGATTAGGAAGAAATTCTTTACTGTGAAGGTGGTGAGACACTGGCACAGGTTGCCCAGGGAAGTAGTGGATGCCCCAACCCTGGCAGTGTTCAAGACCAGCCTTGAACAAACCTGCTGTGGTGGGAGGTGTCCCTGCCCAGGGCAGGAGGTTGGGACTAAATGATCTTTAAGGTCCGTTCCAACCCCTTAACATTTCATGATTCTATACTGACAGAATTAAAAACCTTTTAAGAAATGTACACAAGTACAGTTCCAAGAGAGGAGCTGGAGGAACTGAAGTGCTTTTTCCAAACATACTTTACGGAACAGAGTCCTACTAAATGAAGGTTTTATTTTCCTTCTCCAAGCTGTACTTCACTGCTTTGAAGAAGTTCATGCCCTTGTCTACTGCTCTGTGTGGAGATCTCAAAACCTCAATTTTCAGATCCTGAACCAAAATAGAAACCCCAAAGAATTCAACTGTACTGTTAGCCTGCTTGAAATTACTCAGATGCATTTATGCTTAAAGAATCTGTAACAACTTTTGAATCAGCTGGAAAATCAGACTTTAAGCACTGAATTATTTTTACAAACAAAATTAATACTGCTCTGCTTATTTCCAAGAGAACTCCAATCAGTTCATAAACATCCTGATGCACCACAATTTGTGACCTTGTTAAGGAATGACTGAAATTAAGCCCATGAAATAAAAATTAGTGCAGAACTCTGGCATTCTATAATGAGGACACCTAAATAAAAAAATCAGAGCACTCCATTACCAGGATACATGGACACAACTGTCCCTCTGGGCACAAAACCTTTGGTAACAAAGACTCCAGTTCCAGCAGACACCAGGGAGCTTCGGTCCCTGCTGACAGAGAACCCAAGAGTGTTGAACAGAACTTCCTCTGGACTACACACACGCTGGCTCTGGTGGTTACATGGATTTACTTCTGACTGCTCCTGCCCAGCAGTCAGTAACTCCAGGTATTGGCACTTGACTTCTGGAAGCAAGGCCAAAATATCTGCTTGTCTGCTGAAGTCATTTATGAACAGTGCTTTAAATGTTCGGAGTAGTGTCTCAAACACATCTTCATCAGAGATGATTTTGTCTTGAGAGCTTTCAGAAACATAACGGAGAGTCCTGTGAAGAACAGTAAACAGTTTCAAATTAAAAGGATGCTTTAATATTATGGGTTGGGTTTTTTCCCCCCTAAACACAGACATTTTGCAGCAGCAGCTCAGCTGCACTGTTGTTTCAGACAACCCCAAACTTTTTATGCCTGTTTCACTACAGAACTGTTATCTCTCTGCACTCACCACAAGGCAAAGGGGGTTAAACACTACTGAGCCCTCAGTGACAACCACATCAAAAAATCAAATATAAGTGATTATATTATAAAGTTTATTCAAGTATATGCATATATAAATCGCG